TTTATTCATTTATTGGATAATTATAAAAAAGGTGGTTAAGGAAATGACAGAAGGAGGAGTTGACTACAGTTTCGTATGCGTCGGTTTAAATTCTTCAATTAGTGAGGCATTCATCAGTACCCGCACGGTACGTTTGGGTTCGAATATAAACGGGACATTAAAAATGTGATGTATACGAAATAGTAACAACATTCTATATATACTACCGGTCTTTACTGCACTCTATATATACTGTTTTAATTTGGTTTAAAGTCTTTATTGAAAGGATTTATTATGTCTTTTAACGGTTTAAAAAAACAGGGTATAGGAAAAACGGTAGTGTTGGGAATAGACAAGTATCTAGCACCGGCAAGTTTGGATAGTTTTGATATTTTCAGAGGCAAAAGTGTTTGTGGAGGCTTGTTTGGTGGTCTGAAACCCAAACTAGATATTCCGATTCTTGTCGATCATTACTTAAAGAAGGTATATATATTAATCTATTTATTTGATTACCATTAGTATGGTACTTATTTACGGCTTACATGTTATGTTTTCATGCGATTTACTTTGTTTTACAATTTGTAGGAGCTTAATCTGGATAGTTTTATTACACATGAATTGAAGTTTGAAGAAATCAACGAGGCTTTCGATTTATTAGAGCAAGGAAAGTCTCTCCGTTGCATTTTATGGATGGATAAGTAACAAATATTATTTGTATGCTAATCCAAGTGATTAATTATTAGTCTCTTCTATTTTTTCGATGTCTTTGAACTTTTTCTATTGCTTGTTTTAATAAAACATCAAATGTATCCCTTATGTTCTTAAGCATGAGAATTATAAATTAGCTAGATATATATTCAAGTATTGAATATCCGGTCAAATTAGTAGAATAAGTAGATACCTAGATAATTGCTTGGCACGACGGACCTCATCAACGAACTCTGGATAATAAATTTCATCAGTATCTGAATTCTGATTTTATATATAATAGATTCTGAACAATTTTAATCTACGAGAAATTTTCAGAGCGTGATTCAAAAGAAAAGATATAAATTAAGTAATGTTAGAAGAAACTATTTATAATTGTTATCTTCCATTTACTCTCCTCGAAAGAATAGAGTTTAATAATAGAGTATATTGTTGTATTTATGACTTTCTGAAAAACTCTCTTTTAAGAATTTCTTTTGGTTAATCTCAAGTTTTTTGATCTTTGTTATCTTACCAAAACTAATGGTGAAAGAAGAAATCTCTTAAAGATGTTCTAGCACATTAAGTTAAGAGTATCAAATATAAGACACACAAAGATTGTCCATTTATAATAGTTTTATTTGATGTTTGAATGGTTCTTACGTTCATAGTTAAAAACTAGGGAAATTGGCATGAATGACTATAAAAAAAAAATCTAATAATCTACCAAAAACCATCCATGTGGCTAAATCTTAATCATTAATTTTAGGGGTTTTAGTTAGATTATTAGATAACATTTTTTTGGTTATTCAACCAATTGACCCTAAAAACTATATCTTTTT